AAAAGTACTATAAGATTTCATCTTACTCCAGTCGGAACAGCTAAGATCAAGAAAATAACTGACAATAAGTGTTACAGAAGTTGTGGTTTCAAGGGGAACATTCATTCACTGCTAATCAGTTTGCAAACTGGTGCAGCCATTGTGGAAATCAGTGTGGAGAACTTTATGATCCAGTTATACTACTCCTCAGTATATACCCAAAGGACTCAGTGTCCTACTACAGAGATACTTGCTCAACCATGATTATTGCTGCTCTTTTCACAATAGCGAAGAAATGGAAACTGAAATGTCCTTCAGCCAATCAATGGATAATGAAAACGTGGTACATTTATACAATGGAATTCAATTCAATGGTAAAGAAAAATGAAATCATGAAATTTGTAAGCAAATGGATGGAACTAGAAATCTTTTATTCAGTGAGGTAACCCAGACTCAGAAAAGCAAGCAACATGTGTTCTCTTTCCTTTGCTCCAAATTCTTAGATGTCAATATGCTGATGTAACTGCAGCAGCTAGAAAAATGGAAGAGAACCTTGGGAGGAGAAGGGAAGAAGGAACTTGAAAGAGGAAGATAACAGGAGACAGGAATTATCAGAGGAAAAATATGAAAAATTGGGGGTATTTTATTGGGGGCAGGGAGAGGGAGGGAAAGGGAGGGAGAGAAAAAAGGTAAACAATGCTTAGATGGTTTGAAAAGCTGAAGAGAAATGTATTTAATAAGCCTGTTGAAAAATTCACACATAAATGTGAGTGCATGTATGCAGCTAAAGACTATATAACAAAAATCACAGTGCCAGGCAAAGGAAACCTTTTTGAGTTGTTGATCAGGGTAGTCCAAGAGACTCCCAAAATAATACAGGCTATTTCCACAGTACTTGATTGCCTCTGGGAACTTGAAGGGAAGACCTATTACTAAAGACATAGCATACTTCAGACATAGGACTTGGAGCAACTGAATTGGAACATACCAGGAAGCCTCCTCCCTAAAGACTAGGTCTCATAGTATCAGAAGATACTATACAAGCTGCCAACAGAGAAAACCAACTGGTCGTTCTACCCATCTGTAAAGCCTATAATAACCAGCCCAGCAAACTATCGCTATTGGTACAGTAGTAGTGCTGTTATCTGGGGGGAGGAGAGGTAATCAACAGCTATCTAATTGGACTTAAAGCCCTCTCAGTGGGAGTGAACTCATGGGTGGCACTGTAGTTACAGCCAAATATACATGGCTGGAGAGATCATTGATCCTACAGAAAACTCTATGTTTGTCATATCACTAGGCAAATAAATTTCTTACCATATGCTAAATATGGATCTTTATATTTACAGAAAGTATACTATACACCACTTATCAAAGAAGCTTCTTTTTGAAACAGATGGAGGCTACTGCAGAGTTCTACAACTAGTCATACACAGAGTATATATGTCTTAGAGATGCCCAGCCCTAGGTGACATATCTACAGTGGAACCTCTACACCTTAGGTTCATGGAACATATTAGTGCATCCCTCAACTTTCATCAACAACTCTTCCTTATACAACAGAGTATGACATGCACAGAAGGCCACAACTGGCTAAGTTTTAGAAAACAAGAGACTGCAGAGTGTACATCCCTGGATAGGACTCCTATATTAAACCTCATGCACCCACAGCTCAAGGACCATTGTAGAAAAGGGTACAGAAAGATAGTAAGAGCCAAGGTTGGTCCATGAACACAGGGAAGCAGAGGATTTCAGGCCACTGGAAGCTTGAACATGTGAACTTGTGGCAATGGTGGTGTCAAGCAAAAGACTCATGCCAGTTCAATCAGACAAGGACCCAAAGTGGAGTGAGGGAAATGGACAGTGGGTCAGCCCTAACCTGGGAACTGTTGAAGACTGATTACTACTGGGTAAGAGAGAGTAGACCTTCCTTAAGATCTCTATATAGGCTGACTAGACTCCAGTGGATAAATTTGCACTGGAGGACATCTTGGTACAAATGTTTGACTGGATAGGACTTAATATGTAAGGCAGAATATATGAGGTCTGGTAGGCGGATGCATGGGGGGCATAGATGGCGGACGCCGTCTAAATTTGATTAAGACTATTATATGAAATGTACAAAAACTCAATAAAATATTTTTAAAGATTTATAAGGTTTTTTTAAAGAAATCAAGCTGGAGCTGAGATGGATGCTTCCTCCACACTGGCTAGCTTTCCTGGTCCCAGAAGGTGCTATGCGGGCTTCTGGGGAGGCGGGGGGAGTCAGCAACAGTCTTAGGTAGCTGTGAACCCTGCAAGCTACAATAATACCTACCAGACAAGATGTGCAGCAATGTCATGACTGTTTGGAGGGGGCGGTAACCAAACAGTTTCCAATTGGATCTGAGGCTTGCTCCATAGGAGGGAATTCGTATCTTGTTCTGGGAAGCTAATCAAGAGCCCTTGACTGGGGAGATCATAGGTCCTAGGGGGCAACCTACTACTATTGCTTTGCTAAACAGTCTTGTTCTCAAACTGCCTTCTAAATACTCATGTTTATGCCCATATTTTAGTGCTGCTAATCAAAAAGATTCTTCCTGTAGCAGGCAGTGGTTAATGCAAAACCCGTAACTGGCTAAAAAGTGATTGTGGCGTGCTGAGCCCCAACTGGGACAGCTCTATCACCTCCCCTAATGTTCAGGGAATGTCACAGAAGACGGGACAGAAAAAATGTAAGAGCCAAAGATGGGAGATGTACAAAATTGTTCTGTTTTTAAATGTAGCACTCAGTGGTTTAAGTCCCTTTGTGTTGTTATGTGGTCATCTCCAGAACATTTTCACCTTCCCAGTGAAGTACCAAACACAGGAAGCTCCGCACGCAGACTTCTCTAGTTTGTGCTTCGGGGAACTTAAGTGCCTCAGAGATTTATCTAGGTATCTCATGTAAGTAGAGTCACACATTATCTTTTGTGCCTGGCTTGTTTTACTTAGCATGAGGTTCTCAACATCCATCCATGTTGTGGGATGTGTCTAAATTCTCTCATTTGTAAAGTCTGTAAAAATAGTCCTTGCCTGTGGAGCCCACATTCTGTTTGTCCACCCATCTGTCCACGGAAACTGGATTTTTCATCTGTTGTCTATTGTAAATAATTTGATTATGAATATGGCTTTCCAAATATCTCTGGAGGCCAAGCTTTTAATTCTTTTGCAAATGTGCCCAGAAGTTGGATGCTGGATTACATAGTAATTCAATATTTATTTATTTGGTTTTTGTGGAACCACCAAAAACAGAACTACTGTTTTCTATAATATCTGCACTACTTTATCTTCCTGCCAGCAACATCCAGAGGATTCTAGTTTCACTGAAGTCTTGCCAACCTCACTATACTGTGGCTTAGAGGTGTGTGCGTGAGTGCATGCATGAAAGCAAGTGTATGTGTGGCGGTCGGGGGGGTGGTAATTACAATTAACCATCTTAGCGAGTATAAAATAGCATCTCTTAGAATCATTTGTGTGTCTTCCCTGGAGAATTAGCTAGTCAAGTATTTAGCCTATTTTTGATTAGTGGTGGCTTGTCATCTTTGTTGAATTCTCTCTATGTTCTTAATGTTAATTCTTTATCAGATATATGATTTACAAATGTTTTCTCCCATGAGAGGAGTCACCTTTCATTCTTTTTATCATGTTCCTTGATGCATAAAGGCTTTTGATTTTGATGAACTGCAGCTCTTTTATTTTGTCACTGATTATTTCTTTTGGAATCATACCAAGAAATAACTATCAGATCCAATGTTACAAAGCTTTTCTCCAGTTGTGGGGTTTTTTTGTTTTTTGTTTTGTTGTTGTTGTTGTTTTTGGTCTTTTTGAGACAGGGTCTCCCTGTTGCTCCAGCTGTCCTGGAACTCACTGTGTAGACCAGGCTGGCCTTGAACTCACAGAGATCCGCCTGCCTCTGCCTCCCAAGTGCTGGGACTAAAGGCATGCACCACCACGCCTGGCTAAGAGTTTTTAAGTTTAGGTCTTACATCTAGTCTTTGATCCCTTTTGAATTTGCTTTTTATGTATGATGTTAAGGACCTTTTTCATATTGATACCCAGTTTTTTCCTGTAGTAAAAAGACCATCTCTTCCTCACTGAATTGTCTTGGCACCTTTATCAAGAGTGATGGGGGATCTGTGTGACAGTGTGAGACCTCCAGCTTTGTTCTTTGTCAAGATAACTTTGACTGTTGATCTTCATCCTCTTGCATTTAATCTCTTCCATTCTTCCTATTTTTATTCAAGAAATCAGAAAATGTATTACCTCCAGAAATCATTTTCAAAGAACTGCTTAAGGACTGCATCTAATAAAAAATTTAAGAAAAATGGGATGTAAACTATTCATGCTCAATTAACAAAAACACTGAAACACAGTCACATGTTATAATTATTAATAATATAGCCAAGAAGTTGAAACAACTGTTAAGAAATGATTCCTAAGGAGCAGTTAAGAACACATACTGCTCTTGCATAGGACCTGAATTCAGTTCCCAGAATCCACACTGGTCAGCTCACAACTGCTTTTAACTCTGGTCCCAGGGGATCCAGCATCTCTGGTCTCCTCAGATCTACCTGCACTCACTCACATGCACATATCCACACAGACACATGCACATATACATAATTTAAAATGATAATATTATGAAATCTTCAAAGTATTTTTTAAAGGGAGGGAGGGAGGAAGAAATTCCTGGGCTGGGAATGCAACTTGGTAGTAGAGTGACTCTAACACCAGAGCTTCATCTGGCATCTTGGAAGTCAGGATCTGGCTCCTGAAAGAGAAGCACAGTCCCCTACCAAAATCTGATTTCTAGTCCAGAGCCATTTCTCTGAAATCTACATGAAGGACACTTTTTCAAATAACGCTTACATTTGTTTAAGTATGTAGGTATTGGAAGTGGGATTTATCTGTACACATTTCACATGTGTACTGAATCACTGAAATTTTAAATTCTCTTCTTACCCACAGTTAACATTCTCTCACCTTACCTTACAGAGTTCTCAAGGGGCAGGCTGGGCACTTGTACCTCCACTGTAGCAGCCATGGACCGTTTCCAGCAGGGACAGTGACGTGCTGAACCGAATGCCTGAGTGCCACTCTCCTCCAGAGAGAAAGGAGTCTGGAAAGTAAGTCCTGTGCTTGGGTCCTGATGGCAGGGCCAGAGGGCTGTCAGCATCTGGAAATCACCTGGAAATCAGGTCTAAACCCAAGCAACATGTTATCTGCCCACAGGACTACACTGAACAAGAAGTAAGAAGTGTATCTCACATTGTGTTGGAATCTGAGGTTGAATAAGCATTCTAGAGAAGAGTATGACTCTGGTTATTGACAAATGACTTATACATGAGCAAAATCTGCTTTGTAAGTCCGCTGCAACTATGATTTGTTTCTAAAGCATCAAGCATGATGTAAGCAAAAGAAAAATGACCTCGTTTCTTAACATTTGTTTTCATTTTAATGTTTCCTTTTAGTATTTGTCCAAAAATACAACTTCTATCCAGTTGATATCTGAGTTGTGACTTTTTTGCCCTATAACTCTTGGAAAAAACATTTTCATTTACTTTTTGCCTTTTTATTTAAAACTTCAAATATACAGAAAAATCTAAAGAACAAGACAGGGCCAACTCATATAATCTTTGCCCAGGCTTACTGACTGGTTCTATAGACAAAGATTCTAAATATGTGCCTCTATGTGTATTCAGTCTTTGTATCAGAATCATTTGAAAGCAAACTATGGGCACCATGGCAGCCTTTGGCAAGGATCTCCAAAGTTTGCAGCCCTCTCTACAAAATCAGAACACCATCACCACTGTGCAATTTAACACTGAAAAGTAATGCCAAGTCCAAATGTGTTATCTCCATCCAAATGCCCTTCCTTGTCCTAAAGATGTTCATTGTAGCTGTTTATACATCTGACACTCGTAAGTGCATGCACTGAATTCAACTATATCTCTAATTCTAAACCAAAGCCTTGCTTTTTATCTTTTTTGATACTGATATTTTGCTTTTCCTTCCCTTTTTTCAGTTCTAGAGATTGAGCCCAGGGTCTTGTGATACTAGGCAAGTGTATATACCACTGAGCTCCACTGTAGTCAGGAACAAGCTTGTTTGTTTGTTTGTTTGTTTGTTTGTTTGTTTGTTTGTTTTGAAAAATATAAGCCATTTGTTTTATAGGATGCCCCTCAGTCTGAATTTCTCTGATTCTTTCCTCATACTCAGATTCAGGTAAACAGCTGTGTTTGCCTGAACAACCCATCAAGGGAAACAGTGTCATCTGACCTGTTAGTGATGGCTGTGTGGTATTCTCTTGTATAAAATGGTTTCTGGTAGAACTCTTCTTAATAAATTGCCTTTTTTAATTCCTTGTAAGTAATAAGTGGGGCAAACATGAGGCCCTGTCTTTTGGGTTTAGTTTTCATGGATTACTTTCGAGAAGCCATCGTTATATAGGAATCCTTATCAGATCAGTTAACCTTGACAACATACTTTCTCTCCTGTTTCCCAGTCCCTCGTTCTTCACACTTTCTGCCCTCATGAGATCAGCACACAAGGGAGGACCAAGAGGTAGAATAAAACTATGCCATCTAGCATGTGCTCTGCCACACATTAGCCCAATGGCCTGTGGGGAATACTTCCCCTCCTCAGACTGAGTGGCACTGCAGAGGCATGGGGCAGGGGTTGCCTCATTGAGCACTGGCCTTTAATTATTACCAGGGACAGGGAGGATGAGCAGAGCACCAACTAGATGCCACATACCTACTAAGAACTTTAAAAAGACTTTTTACAAAAGTATAGATGAACCTGAGTGACAAGCAAGACGCTCCCATGATCTGAGGGTCACTTTTTTTAAGCCCTATTTACCTTTCAGTCACCAGTAATAACTAGAGTTTTGTTTGAAGAGTATTAGACTTCATCCTGTGCATGCTAAGTACATGGTCTTATGAGCACTCCATTGCCATGGAATGAGAATGTTTTAAAAACATCACCAAGAAAAAAAAAACTTGTGAAAATTAAGGTTGGTTTAGAAGTTACTCTCATGTGTATATTATAGTAAGTCTTACAAAATAGGCTGCCCTTATAGAATCTGTTGGTGGCTTAAACATTCTCCTTCTGAAAATTGTACTAACCCAGCTTTTTCCTCATAACTCATCAATGCAAAAGAGGGCTGAGGTTCATGAAGCATGACTGTTGGTTGGTGGGTGCTGTGCACACCCTGCAACCAAAGAGCTTTCTGCCTGCTTCTCTGCAGAGAACTTGGGGAGATGACCCTGCAAGTATCACCTGTCCTCCTGCTTACTAGTGTAATAACCCTGCCTGCCTGGGGTTCCCAGGACTCCAGAGAAGCCATACAGACCCAAAGGTACCAACCAGGCCTCCTAGCATCCCAACCAGCACCTCCTGCTTCCTTCCTATCAGCCTTTGTATTAGTGCCCCATTGATGGTCTCTTGGCCCCTGGCTCATTCCATAAGGACCAGGGTGTGCCTTCTCCGTTTTCCAAAATGCAGGCAGGGCACAATACTTTAAGAGTGGATCAGTCTCTGGTTCCACATAAACACTGAAGAAACTGCCCAGATTTCATTTGAATGTGTGGATGAAAACATTGCAGCTACCTCTGTTTTGATTTCCCAAGTGTATTCTGTAGAACTCCAGTCTGCACAGACACCTGTGTTCCAGGGAAGGAAGTGCAGGCAATTGGAGTCCTAGAAGAAATCCTGTGGAGAAGCCCCTCCCTACAGACTTACAGTCTACTTTTGATTGACAGGTCTCTCCCTAAGTGGCCCTGGGACAGGTCTCTACACAACCCTCCTCCCTCTTTCTGTTCCTTTTCCCTGCATCTCAGCAGCCCTGTCCTGCATCACCCTCCTAAAGGGCCCTACCACATTCCAGGAGATGCTGGTGTGCCTAGGGTACTGTCTCTCCCTGTGGAGCCCAAATAGACAGGTCTGTGATCCCCCTCCCTCTTTCAGGAGATAGAGATTTCAGTCCTTGGAGTAAACTGACTGTGGATGGTAAACCTGGAGCAGGACCAGGAGCCACGGGCCTGAGGTTAGCCCTGAGGCCAATGTCAGTGAGCCTTGTGTCTCTCTGACAAAAATTTCTGAGTTAGGGGCTGGAGAGATGGCTCAGCAGTTAAGAGCACTGACTGCTCTTGCAGAGGACCCAGGTTCAATTCCCAGCATCCCACATGGCCGCTATGAACCGTCCTTAACTCCAGTTCCAGGGAAATCCGAAGCCCTCTTCTGACCGCGGCATTGCACGACACGGGAGCACTCACATACATGCAGGCAATACACTCATACACATAAAATAAAAGCAAAATATTTTTTAAAATCTCGGAGTTAATCTGTCCTAGCTGTCCTAGAACTTGCTTCTCTGCTCTAGCCTCCTACATAATGAGGTAACAGGTGCACTTCCACTATACCTGGTAAAACAATCAACTTTGAAGTTTATTTCAACTCCTGGTTTTCAAGGTTTTGATCCATAGTCACCTGACTAGGCCACATCTGTCCTGTGGTAGGGCAGTTCATAATGGTGTGGAGTGCATGGTGGAACAGAATAGCTCCCTCCTAACATCTGGGAAGCAGAGGGAGGGGAGGGAAGAGAGGAAGAGGAGAGAGTGGGGTCCTAGTCGCCCTTTCAAAGGCATAACCTCAATGTCCCACTAATCTCGGGCTCCAGAACCTCCTATTCCCGGGGGCGGAGCCTTTAACACATGGCCTTGGTGTGATACTCCATATCAAAACTGTAGTAATCAGTCTGTGCCCAGTGGCACCAGCTGGGACACTTAAAGGGGCAAGTGATACTGGATGTGTTTCAGACAGGTGAAGGACAGACAGCCTCTGCCTTTCTATGGCTCTGACTCCACTTACTGTCTCCAAGTGCATGGATGTGGTACTCAATGGGCTTCATAGAGCTTTGCTTTCCTTTTCTTTTCCCTTTAAATTTGAATTTCTATTCCACATCCCTGTCTTAGGCTACTTTGTGTTGCTATAACAAAATGCCTGAATCAGGGTACTTTATAATATAAAGAAGTTGATCTCATGATCCTAGTGACTGGAGGATCAGAACAACATGGTGCTGGCATCCTGAGGAGAGCCTCCTGAGTACCACAGTGTGGCAGAGAAATGGAAAGGGAAGATGCTCTGTGCAGAAATATAAAGTATGTGGGGAGTCTGCTCCACAAGAACTGATTCTCCAGTCTAGTATCAACCCCTTCTAAGGGTGGTGTCTCAGGACCCAAATACCTTCCACCAAGCCCCAGCCTTACAGTTTCCACACCACCACCCTGAGGATTATGTTTCTAGCTCATAAACGCTCAGGGACACTCAAACCACAGCATTGTAACTTTGTACGTTAAATTTACTCCCAGGTAACTGTACTGCATTTGTTTATGTGCATGTTTGAAGACATCCTATGAAAGGATACAAATATACAATGAAACGTTTCTTATTACTGATAGAGTACTCAGTGCACAGCTGATCAAAACAGCCAGGTAACAGAAAAGGGTCCCCCAATGACATGAACAGCACAGGGGCTTCTAAAGACACATGGCCCACTCTATGAATCCTGAGACCCCAGTCTCTCAGTTTCCATGGGAACCATGGGAACTTCCAAGACACAGTAAGGCCCACTGTGCAGCCATGCAAGACACTATGTGGTGAAGAGTCTCCAGGTGAACTCAGAGAGGACATGTTAGCTATGTATGGTTTTGTCCCTGCAGTCAACACATGCCTAGAATGCTGGCTGTGCTTCTTCTGTGGCTCTCTTCTGAAGAACCATGGTGTTGCCCAAAGGAAACTACCAGTAACCACAACTGAGCTTAGACACCTTGTCTAAAGCCATTGGAATAAGGCACATCATGAGATAGCTTAAGAAACAGAAACAAAAGGTAGGGACAGACCCAGGGCAACTCTAGAATCTTCTGGACTGAGAGGAGCTTGCTACCCACACCCACAGTGTGTCATCGTGAATGGTAGATGAGCTGGTCAAGGTTACAGGAGCCTGAGAAGCCTTCAAACAATTACTTTCCCTGTGCAGGCAGTATCTATTGAAATCTTTGTTCAGCAGTGTGCAGTGGGCACTCCTGAGTATGCAGATGCTCAGTTCTCAGAAGAATCAGCCATT